TGATCTGCTATGTCATTGGACACGGCTGATCACATGGTAAAAGGGCGCTGTGATTGGTTTTTTACCTTGTCATGTGATCAGCTGTGTCCGTAGGACAGAGCAATCACTGACAGCTCCGGGGGCGTGTTTTGGGAGGACATCATATGACGCCTTCCCAGAACTGAACAACCGCGTTGTAGCCGTCATTCAGCTATAGCGCGGTTGTAAAGTGCTTAAATAGACAAAGCCATAGATTTTCCTTGTGTACCATTACAATCTTCTATCCTCCAGCATCCAGGTAACTGCGAATGTGATTGGTAGATAAGGAGGACATGAGATGCCTGCACACCCTCTTTGTTTGCTCTCCTCTGCCTCTATCTGTCAGCACTGGGGTCGCATTAGCTGAGTGAGGGAGAGAAACTAATGGAGAAGAGAAACAATGGAACACTAGTCAGTACCAGTGTACAAAGTGTATTTGCTCTGGAAGAATAATCACCTCTAACATTGGGTGTCCTACATGTGTGGGTGTTGCTGCATTCTGTAAAACATTTATCTTAGTTTTTACATTTTAGGATGGGGTGCCTCAAGATTGCACACAATTTTAGGGGTACAACAACTAAAACAAGGTTGATAAAAACTGGTCAATACTAATGAATTATACAAGTTTTATTAGGGGTGATTTTAATATGTATGTGTTTATTTTATATTATTACATTTTTTATTTCAAGTAGAAAGAAAGAGGGAAAATTTCATTTGTAGTGAATGTCCTGAAAACTAATTTTTACATCATGATCCCAGTCAGAACAGAAACTTACAGAGCACCCTTCATGTTCCTCCTCCCAATGTCCCTCCATCCGGAGTCAGAGAATCCTATGACATCACACTGACCTATGACTCACAGCTCCTCCTCCCCAATGTCCCTCCATCCATCCGGAGTCAATGAGAATCCTATGACATGACATCACAATGACCTGACCTCACAGCTCCTCCTCCCAATGTCCCTCCATCCATCCGGAGTCAGAGAATCCTATGACATCACGCTGACCTCACAGCTCCTCCTCCCAATGTCCCTCCATCCGGAGTCAGAGAATCCTATGACATCGCACTGACCTCACAGCTCCTCCTCCTAATGTCCCTCCATCCAGAGTCAGAGAGTCCTATGACATCGCACTGACCTCACAGCTCCTCCTCCTAATTTCCTTCCAACCAGAGTCAGAGAATCCTATGACATCACACTGACCTCACAGCTCCTCCTCCCAATGTCCCTCCATCCAGAGTCAGAGAATCCTATGACATCACACTGACCTCACAGCTCCTCCTCCCAATGTCCCTCCATCCAGAGTCAGAGAATCCTATGACATCACACTGATCTAACAGCTCCTCCTCCCAATGTCCCTCCATCCAGAGTCAGAGAGTCCTATGACATCACACTGACCTCACAGCTCCTCCTCCCAATGTCCCTCCATCCAGAGTCAGAGAATCTTATGACATCACACTGATCTAACAGTTCTTCCTCCCAATGTCCCTTCATATGGCTCTTTTTTTTTTTTTTTTTTCTGATGCTCTTAGGATGTGGGTGGACCCTTGGCATCCTCACGTGCAAACCAGGACTGTTGGTCCTACATAGTATGTAATGATGTCAATATTCTTCTGCAACAAGCTTTTAACCTTCGGAGGGGTGGGCCCTGTGTGGGTAAACTGTACTTCGGCCTGAAGTGGGGCTTTATTATAATGGAGGTTAATTGATTTTACTATTTGTGTTCAGATCTAGAATTTTCCTCCTGTGAAGTCTGGAGATCATATGACATCACATTGCCTCCACCTCCCTCCCTGATAGAAGAGAGAAAGAAGAAGAAGATTCTAGAAGTCACCAGAGAGATCACTGAGCTGCTGACAGGAGAGGTGAGCGGTGCCGGGAATTCTGGGACATTCTCCAGTAACAGACAAGGGATGTGTCTGGATGGTGACTGTATCATTGTGTGTGTCAGGTTCCTATAAGGTGTCAGGGTGTCACTGTCTATTTCTCCATGGAGGAGTGGGAGTATTTAGAAGGACACAAGGATCTCTACAAGGACGTCATGATGGACAATCAGCCGCCCCTCACATCACCGGGTAAGAGGAGACTTTATTGTAAAGGAGAGAGCAGTACGGAGGATCCACCTAGATCCCCCATCATCTGATAAACACATAGAAACAATGGATTCAGTCAGTGTGTGTGTTTCCTACAGATGGATCCAGTCATGGGAACCCACCAGAGAGATGTCCCCGTCCTCTGTATTCCCGGGGATTCCACACAGGAAGGTCACACCATCCCTCACCATCATCAGGTAGATGGATCCAGTCCCCACCAGGGAGATGTCCCCGTCCTCTGTATTCCCAGGATTCCACACAGGAGGTCATCCCTCACCTTCATCAGGTAGATGAGGAACAATCACTGATAGTATCATTAGGATCTGTACATTATCTGCATTGTTACTATTGTTATCATTTTTTATATATTCAGAGTGAAAACCTGAGAGATCCTAAAGTTGAGGTTAAAGAAGAGATAAAAGAGGCGGATGAAGAGTGGATGATGGAGGAGTCAGAGTTTCTAAAAGGACACAAAAATCTGTACCAGGACACCATGGTGGAATCATCCAGCTACAGAAACCCACCAGAGAGATGTCCCCGTCCTCTGTATTCCCGGGATTCCACACAGGAAGGTCACACACCATCCCTCACTGTCATCAGGTAGATGATGACAATTATTGGTAGTTGTGATTTATACACAGCATGTTTGTTACAATGAATGTTTTATTATATCTTTCAGAGTGGAATCCTCGGGGATGATAATATTGTTGTTAAAGAAGAGTATAAAGAGGAGGATGAGGAGTATGGAGTGATGGAGGAGTTTTCAGAAGGACACAAGGATATGATGGAGCCACCTAATACCAGGAACCCACCAGAGAGATGTCCCCGTCCTCTGTATTCCCGGGATTCCAACACAGGAAGGTCACACCATTCCCTCACCATCATCAGGTCGGTGGAGTTGAGGGTCTGTAACATAAAGTGATGGAACACTCTGACATGTGGAGACGATGTGTGGACTCTACAAGATGATATTTTCTATGTGATCTCACATCATAAATCCTTCTATATTACAGATGTTATTTCTGCCATTCTGTTGGTTTAGGGTGAAGATCTGATGAAGATGAAAGTTGAGGGTGAAGTAGAAGAGACGTATGTGAGGGATGATCAGCAATATACGGAGGAGGCTGGAATGACGAGGACATTCAAAGAGGAGGACACTCCTACAGAGATCAGCACAGGTGAGCCACAATATATTCTTCTGTTATCTCTGCTCTGTTACTGCACACTGATTGGTCCAGAGTAGGGCGGGAGATGAGTGATGTCAGCCAATAATAGGTTGGTAATAGTCACTGATACCCGTCCTGCATATTATTTGTTATTTTCTCTCAGATAAACCCCCTTCTCTTTAACACAGACACAATTTGTGCAGAGTTTCTGAAAGCTGAAAATTGGCCTGGGCAGGAAGGGGGTAAAAGTGTTCGGTATTGAAGTGATTAACCTCCCTAGCAGTCTGATTATGTCAGTATTTCTGTGCTCAAAGCGGTACATTTTTTTGCATGGAAATATGTATTTTTTTTTATTGTAGGCCTGTAATTTTTAGGAATAACTCACTGAAATCTGTCCGAACAAGAGTCTAGTAAACATCCCCAGTATGTTACAATTTTAAACACGAAAATCATAAATTATAATTTAATAAATAATCGTAAAAAAATAATAATATAATAATAAATTTAATTCAATAATATAATCAAACCAAATACACTGAAATTTGAAATATAGCGCCAAGTTCGCACATCACTGACCAAAGTCGCAGAATCGTTTTCAGTGTCTGATGAGGAATTTCCCCCACCAATCATTATCACTCAATTCTGCAAGTGGTTCTGATTTACTATCGCTGTTCTCTAGCCGGTCTAAAACCGCTTTTGACCTAAAGGGACCCTTTTTGGACGCCATGGACGTTTCTCAGTTTCCAGGCAGAAAGAACAGTAAAAATGCAGGCAGGGTGCCGGACAAAGCACTCGGGACAAAATGTATGTGAAATGGTTTGATACACTTAAATCACATAGTAAAACATTACTGTATTTAGGGAATGTCACTTTTTGACATTTTCAAATTTCCTGCCGTTCTGCCCCCCGTACGTCCCCGACGCTCGCAGGGGACGGAACCCAGAAGACAGATGCCGGCATCTGCCGGAAGACATTGCCCGGGACACTGCAGGAGGGACATCGTGGGAGCGCAGGACAAGGTAAGTGATCGAGGGATCCCGGAGCAGAGCCGCATGGTATTCCCGAGTGTAGCTCAGGGTTACCGCTTGTGGTACTGAAACTTTACCCCAAGCTACACTCGGGAATACCGCCAGGGAGGTTAAGGGGAGCCCCAGGCAAAAAAAATTGCGTGGGGTCCACCCAGTTTCTACTAAACCATTAGGTCTGGTTTAGATTTGAAGGGGAAACCCTATACAAAATACAAGAAAAACCAAAGGAGGGAAGGGTACCAGCTGGTAGGGATATCCACCAAGAACATCTTCCCACTAAAATCTACTTAATCCAGATAGAATCCCATCTTATATCTATTGATTATGTTTTTTTATTTTCAAGGACACACCATGGAGAAACTCTCAAAGGATCGTTTCACTTTATCTCCGGGTTATAAAATGGAAGATGAGGAGATCACAAGAGATTGTGCCGGAGAAAAGATAATGAGTTCAGCTATGGATGGTGGACTTTACAATGTGGATAGACCATTGAATGCCTCTGACTCTGAGCAACCTCGTACTATGGGGGGTGGTGCTGGAATTCAGAGGGAAGAGACATTTTTCTGTCCTGAATGTGTGGAAAGTTTTAGTTCTGAATCAAATCTTACTGTACATCAGAGATCTCACACGGGTGAAAAGCTTCATTCCTGCTCTGAGTGTGGGAAAGGTTTTTCACAGAAATCATTACTTGTTAGACATCAAAGATCTCACACAGGCGAGAAACCATATTCTTGTCCTGTGTGTGGGAAATGTTTTTCACAGAAATCAGACCTTCTAATACATAAACGATCTCACACAGGCGAGAAGCCATATTCCTGCCCTCAGTGTGGCAAATGCTTTGCAGAGATGTCCAGTCTTTACAGACATCAGAGGCTTCACACGGGGGAAAAACCGTATTCTTGTCCTGAGTGTGGGAAATGTTTTTCACTGAATTCAAACCTTATCACACATCAGAGATCTCACACGGGGGAGAAGCCATACTCCTGTCCTGAGTGCGAAAAATGTTTTTCAAAAAAATCAAACCTTTTCAGACATCAGAGATCTCACACAGGGGCAAAGCCTTATTCCTGCTCTGAGTGTGAAAAATGTTTTTTTTACAAAAATCAGACTTGGTTATACATCAGAGATCTCACACTGGTGAGAAGCCATATTCCTGTCCTGAGTGTGGGAAATGTTATACACAGAAATCGGACCTGTTAAACATCAGAGATCTCACACAGGGGAGAAACCATACTCTTGTCCTGAGTGCGGGAAATGTTTTTCAGAGATGTCCACTCTTTCCAAACATCAAAGGATTCACACAGGAGAGAAGTATTCCTGTCCTGAGTGCGAGAAATGTTTTTCACGGAAATCGGTCCTAGCTAAACATCAAAGATCCCACATTGTAGAAGCTGTACTGCTGCCTTGAGTGTGTTGTGGAAAATAGAGACGTCAGCAAAGGGAATTGTGGAAAAAAAGATAGTGGTGTGCGTATTCCCCACCCAACAGTTTTGGCAGACCCACCAAGTGTGGTATGGATTTTAAAGAGGACCCATATACAAAAAAGTGTGGTGACCCCCCTCCCCTACATTGCAAGTGGATCGCCCGTGTGAAAGGCCCCTAATTTAGTGTTTTGTCAAGTCCAACCCCTGGTATTCTGACATTACTACTGGTGTCAAATGTGACAGCTTTCCCTCAGGCTACCTGAGTTACCCTCATCCAGTCCATTCAGTTGACAGTGTACAGTCAACAAAGGGGTGCAGATTGTGGAAAAAAAAAAAAACTGGCGTGGGTACCCCCCCAATAGTTTTGACAGAATCTTCAGGTCTGGTATAGATTTTAAAGGGAACCCATGCAAAAAAAAGGGTGGGGACCCCCGTCATTGCAATACCAGACCCTTGAAGTCTGGTATGGATTTTAAGGGGAAGCCTCATGCAGACAAGGACAAAATTTCCAACCGAAAATCTATACCATGCTGTTATCCAAGCATGCAGCCTAGGCTGGCCATGAAAGAAGGAATACAAGCTTTCAACCTCCTCATCCCAAACCATACCAGGCCACAAGCATTCAACATGGGGGAGTACATTGCCAGAGGGGTGCCCCTGGCAAACCACCTTTACTCCCCATGTAAATGAGGAAAAATGTGAAGAAACCTTTCCGTGTTTGGAGACAAAGAGTGCCCCCTTGTCCTCTGTGATGACCTCAGGGTAAATAGCTCTACACCGAGTTTACTATATAACACTGATGTATTTATACATGGAGATCATATCCCCCTTATGTATTATACATGGAGATCATATCCCCCCTTATGTATTATACATGGAGATCATATCCCCCATTATGTATTATACATGGAGATCATATCCCCCCCTTATGTATTATACATGGAGATCATATCCCCCCCATTATGTATTATACATGGAGATCATATCCCCACTTATGTATTATACATGGAGATCATATCCCCCCTTATGTATTATACATGGAGATCATATCCCCCCTTATGTATTATACATGGAGATCATATCCCCCCTTATGTATTATACATGGAGATCATATCCCCCTTATGTATTATACATGGAGATCATATCCCCCTTATGTATTATACATGGAGATCATATCCCCCCTTATGTATTATACATGGAGATCATATCCCCCCTTATGTATTATACATGGAGATCATATCCCCCTTATGTATTATACATGGAGATCATATCCCCCCTTATGTATTATACATGGAGATCATATCCCCCTTATGTATTATACATGGAGATCATATCCCCCCTTATGTATTATACATGGAGATCATATCCCCCCTTATGTATTATACATGGAGATCATATCCCCACTTATGTATTATACATGGAGATCATATCCCCCCTTATGTATTATACATGGAGATCATATCCCCCCTTATGTATTATACATGGAGATCATATCCCCCCTTATGTATTATACATGGTGATCATATCCCCCCTTATGTATTATACATGGAGATCATATCCCCCCTTATGTATTATACATGGAGATCATATCCCCCCTTATGTATTATACATGGTGATCATATCCCCCCTTATGTATTATACATGGAGATCATATCCCCCCCTTATGTATTATACATGGAGATCATATCCCCCCCTTATACATGTATCATATCCCCCTTATGTATTATACATGGAGATCATATCCCCCCTTATGTATTATACATGGTGATCATATCCCCCCTTATGTATTATACATGGAGATCATATCCCCCTTATGTATTATACATGGAGATCATATCCCCCCTTATGTATTATACATGGAGATCATATCCCCCCTTATGTATTATACATGGAGATCATATCCCCCTTATGTATTATCCCCCCTTATGTATTATACATGGAGATCATATCCCCCTTATGTATTATACATGGAGATCATATCCCCCTTATGTATTATACATGGAGATCATATCCCCCCTTATGTATTATACATGGAGATCATATCCCCCTTATGTATTATACATGGAGATCATATCCCCCCTTATGTATTATACATGGTGATCATATCCCCCTTATGTATTATACATGGAGATCATATCCCCCTTATGTATTATACATGGAGATCATATCCCCCCTTATGTATTATACATGGAGATCATATCCCCCCCTTATGTATTATACATGGAGATCATATCCCCCTTATGTATTATACATGGAGATCATATCCCCCCTTATGTATTATACAAGGAGATCATATCCCCCCTTATGTATTATACATGGAGATCATATCCCCCCTTATGTATTATACATGGTGATCATATCCCCCTTATGTATTATACATGGAGATCATATCCCCCCTTATGTATTATACATGGAGATCATATCCCCCCTTATGTATTATACATGGAGATCATATCCCCCCTAATCTCCTCTTCTCAAGAGAAAATACATTCAGTTTCTCTAATCTTTCCTCATAGCTGAGCTCCTCCATGCCTCTTATCAGTTTGGTTGTCCTTCTCTGTACCTTCTACAGTTCCCCAGTGTTCTTTTAGTGAATTGGTGCCCAAAAGTGAACTGCATATTCCAGATGAGATATTACTAATGATTTGTACCCGGGGGATGATATCTCTCTCTCTGGAGTTTATACCTCTTTAAATACAAGAGAGGTATTTGCTCACTTTAGAACCCGCAGCTTGGCATTGCATGCTATTATTAAGCTTGTGATCTACCACAACTCCTGGATCCTTCTCTACCATTAACCCCCCCAGATCCTTCTTCACCATTGACACCCCCAGTTGTACCCCCCCCCCCCCCCAGTATGTATGATGCATGCATATTCTTAGCCCCCAAGTGCAGAACCTTACATTTATCAACATTAAACCTTATTTGCCACATAGTCCCCCAATTACACAGCATTGAGGTCGGCTTGTAAGTTGGAGACATCCTGTAAGGACGTTATTCCCCGGCACAGCTTGGTGTCATCTGCAAAGACTGAAATGGGATTTATAATCTCAGACCCTATATTGTTTATAAATATATTAAAAAGTAAGGGGCCCAACACTGAACCTTGGGGTACCCCACTAATAACACTGAACCTTGGGGTACACCACTAATAACACTGAACCTTGGGGTACACCACTGATGACCGCAGACCATTCAGAGTATGAATCATTAACCACTACTCTCTGAATACAATCTTTCAGCCAGTTTTCTATCCATTTACATTCAGATTTTTCCAGCCTGTAGACTTTACCTTACACATTAGCCGTGTATGAGGAACTGTGTCAAATGCTTTTGCAAAATCCAAGTATACCACATCCACCGCCACCCCTCTGTCCAAGTATACCACTTCCACCACCACCCCTCTGTCCAAGTATACCACGTCCACCACCATCCCTCTGTCCAAGGTTTTGCTCACCTCCTCATAAAAAGAAATCAGATTTGTTTGACAACTTCTGTCTTTCATGAATCCATGTTGTCTGTTGCTTCAAATATTTTTTTCCAGTAAGAACTCCTCTATGTGGTCTTTTATTAAACTCTCCAGTATCTTCCCAACTATAGAAGTTACACTAACAGGTCTATAATTACTTGGGAAAGATTTTGACCCCTTTTTAAATATTGGCACCACATTGACCTTACCCCAATCCAGTGGTATTATGCCAGTCAATAAAGAGTTCCTAAAAATTAGAAAAAATGACTTTGAAATGACAGAGCTGAATTCTTTCAGGACCCGTGGGTGTCTGCCATCCAGTCCAGGTGCTTTATTCAGTCTAAATATTTCTGGATCATATCAATTGTGAGCCAATGTGGATCATATGGAGCTGTGTCAATACCACGCCCATTATGGACAAGAGCTCCCCCCATGCTCCTTTGTATACGCAGAGCTGAAGAAGGTATTTAATAAATTTTTCTTCTCTTTGTCCCCAGCCACCCACTCTAGATTATTTTGTAAAAGGGCCTACATGCTGGGACCGGACCTCTTTACTATTAATATATTTGAAGAATTTTTTTGGGTTGGTCCTGCTATCTTTTGCAATCTGTTGTTCATTTTCAAGTTTTGCGCCTTTATTTCCTTTTTACATATTCTGTTATATTCTTTGTAATGTGTAAATGATGATAGCATTCCTACATTTTTATATTTAATAAAAGCTCTTTTATTATTATCTCTAGCTTTTTTAACTTTGGCCATATTAAATGAACATTTAGCTACAAACGACCAGGCCTTATTCCAGTCCTCCAGATCCATGACAGTCCCCAAGTCACACTCCTACTGGACAATATATGATAGAGAATTACGCATTGGGCACCTATTCAAGGATGCATAGAGTAGGGAAACCCGGGAAAAGACCCGGGGCGCCCGGACGCTGTTGGCAAAGCTGTTCAAAGGCTGATTTCTAATATGGAAAGGCAGAAGTGCCACGCAGTGAGGTCAACCAGTGCAGCAATTGAAGGTAACAGAGAAATTCTGCCTGAGGGATATCTCCCTGATTCCCGAAGAGAGCTCCAGGTGGGAAAGGATTGAGAGGTCAAAAAGTGTCGTACCTGCGAAAAAACCGTTGGCCACCTACCAAGAGAACACCCTGGGCTGATCCAATCCTGGCTTAAAAAGAGGATTATTGATAATCGGGAGCAAAGGCAGAAATAGCAACATAAAGCCACTAAAGTAGCATACCGAATTCCACACTTGTGGGCCATGGAATAAAATCAGACTCAATGTCCTCAGGAGTTGGGTTGGGGAGCCATAAAAGCATCAACATTGCAACGGGGGCACAGTTAGTTCCAAAAGGACCTAGAGCGGAACGTCAGAGGAAGCTTGTAACATAGACGAGGGGGCAATCTGG